ACTCGGACACCGGCGGAGCCTCCCCGCCCCCGCGGAAGAAACCCCGAGCCTCGGCGGCGGAGGGAGCAGGAGAGCCCGGGGCTTCGGCAGGCAGAGCAGGCCTCTCTCCTCCGTCCTCGTCGTCCTCTTCCTCGTCGTCGTCGTCCTCCTCCTCCTCCTCCTCCTCCGTGGTGGTAGTGGTGGGACTCCCCCCGGCTGCTGCCCCTTCCGCCGCCGCCGTCTCCCACCGAAGTAGCGGCCACAGCCTGGTCAGCGGCAGCATCATGCAGGCCAACGGGGCAGGAGGAGACCCAGGAACTCGCCTGCTTGTCGGCCCAGAACGGAGAGTCGTCCCCCTCGTCGTCGTCGTCCGCGGGGGACCTGGCCCACGCCAATGGGCTCCTGCCTTCCGCCCCCTCCGCCGCCAGCAACAATAGCAACAGCCTGAATGTCAATAACGGGGTTCCCGGCGGGGCGGCCGCCGCAGCCTCCGCCACCGTCGCAGCTGCCTCCGCCACCACCGCCGCCTCCTCTTCCCTGGCCACCCCAGAACTGGGCAGCAGCCTCAAGAAGAAGAAGCGGCTCTCCCAGTCAGATGAGGATGTCATTAGGCTAATAGGACAGCACTTGAATGGCTTAGGGCTCAAGTAAGTATCACTTGCCGGCAGCTGGTGATGGACAGACCGAGGGACTGAGGCCACAGGGGAGGGGGGAGTGGGAGAGGAAGGCTGGAAAGAGCTTGCTCAAAGAGAATGCCGCTGGACACGCAGAGCCCAGTACAGAGGAGGACACGGCCCAGACAGGCCCACCCGGGGAGGAGGAGCAGAACTGAAGGGAAATCGAGGAATATCAGTCAGTCTGACAAATTGTGAGACTAGCCGGGCATTTGAGGGGTTGGGGAGCTGTAGTAGCAACCAAATAACGATCCCTTTCCACGCACCTTCAGAGCTTAATTGTCTGTCAATAAAGACAGATGCGGGAGTGTGTCTCTGTATGTGTTGGGGGAGGGGTGGATTAGAGCTGGTGGAAATAATGAACCTTGGAGGATTTGTTTTTCAAGTATATCTCAGAGGCATCTTTGTGGGACACCTCCCCACCCCCAACCATGACAACAACCCAGGCAAACTACCAATCAGGAAAGACAATCACCGACAAGTGTTTATGGAAACTGGGGGGCTGGAATAATTTGGAAAGAGGTTGAATAAATCTGATGGGAATAATGAAGTAAGATATTGTGTTGATGTCATTTAAAGACCCATATGTGTGTGTACAAGAGGCCTAGCACTAGGCTGAAATCCCAGTGTAAAAATCAAGATGATTGCCTCTGAAAAAGGAACATCTGAACTGGTGAATCATTTGTTTCCAAATACAGTTTAAGGGGCCTTGTGTAACTAACATAGGATGAAGATAGACATGAGGTTTTACCAAATCCCACCATTCTGTATACACACAAAGAAAAATTAAGAGGGTGGAAGGTAGGATTGGTGGGAGTGCCCTGAAGCCTAATGGAGGAGCCAGAATCTGAATGATATGAAGGGGAAACCATGCAACAGTTTCCTAGCTTCAAAGCATAGATTAAAATAAACTCTTAGGTTAGCCAATAAGTAGTTTTGTACTTATGGATTTGTTGGCGAGTGGGAGAAGACCACACTTTCTGAAAATGATTCAAGTATTTTGATTCTCAGGCAGATCGTTGCACTATTGGGTTGAAAAATAAGTAGAACTGAAGAAAGCATTGCATTGAAACAAAATATATAAGACGGATAAATGGAGTTCTTAGATTTCAAAGTATGTGATAGGAGAAATTACATTTGATAAATCTTTTAAGCTCTCAAAGAGAAATATATTGTAGGAAGATTTCACTTTATTCCCCAAGGAAAAGGATTAGTATGAAAACAGATTTTGTAAATGCTAACAGAACATATTACTGAGACAAGAAGCAAGCTGACAGCAGCAGGAGGAAATAACTCGTGACTCTTTGGAACCTACACCATAGTAAATTTGCTATTTTTAGTATAGAGAGAAAGGAAATGTTTTTTGATGCTGGATTTATTTTAATTTTAGAGATTGACCTAGTAGAATTTCTGTGTGACCATAATATCTGGGCGGAAGACTCTGCCTGACAGGTCATCTATTACCTGTATGGTACTAAAGATTTTATTTTTCAAAATGTAGAACCATCTGTAGTATCTCGCTCCTGGGATTTTGTTGATTTGTTTTGCTTCATTTATTTGACCAGTTGGTTAGAATGCATTTTTAGAAAGTTTATCTATTTCATTAAGATTCTGATACATTACATTAAATAGCAAAAGTAGAAAGAACTTAATTCTGGCTTCAAAATTTTTAACTTTATTAGAAATAAATTTTAGGTTGCAGTTTTAAAATCAAGTTTGTTCAACCAAGCACATTTTTTTTTTTTCCCCTTCACAGTGAAGTTAGCTTAAAAACTTTGCAACTGTTTTCATAGACATTAGCTTATTTGGAAGAGTAAAACCCTGAAGTTGGTCAGGTCTTTTTTACACTGTATCTCTCCTGCAGCCAGACTGTTGATCTCCTCATGCAAGAGTCAGGATGTCGTTTAGAACATCCTTCTGCTACCAAATTCCGAAATCATGTCATGGAAGGAGACTGGGATAAGGTAAAGTAGGGCATATAGAGCTGTGTGACTGCTGCTAAAATTATATATTTGATGTGCATTTTATGACATTTCTGTTTTTCTTTTATACCAATTTTTGCAGGCAGAAAATGACCTGAATGAACTAAAGCCTTTAGTGCATTCTCCTCATGCTATTGTGGTAAGAGGCGCACTTGAAATCTCTCAAACGTTGTTGGGAATAATTGTGGTAAATACACTTTTGTTCTTAGTTTCACATTTATGCTTATTTTAGTAGGTTATTGATAACTCTAGGCATCTGCCTCTTATAAAAGATAAGGCTTGAAAGTAAAAATTTCGTATAATTAAATTTGTAAATAGGATGAGTTGACTAAGATTTTTTAAGTATGAATAAATGTGTCATTTGAACCTAGTTTATTAGTTAAGGTTTATGAAAATTATATTGAAAGACCTTCATGCTTTCAGTGCTACTAGTAGGAATTTTACATTTATAGAGTTAAGGATAAAGTATACGTTTATAACTACTCAAAATATTGAATGTTCTGGTTAAAGAGAAAATGTGTTTGGGAGTGTATATATATCCATACAGCCTTATAAAGTTAGTAATGTCTTTTTTTTTTTAAATTTTTGGGAATTATAGTTAATTTAATTCAACACCATTGGTGTACTCACCATTTTCTGTCCTTCCATTCTGAGTGATGTGAATTGACAGTGTCAAAGTTTATATAAATATGTATCACTCTGGTAGAGGGTTTGTATGTAGATTTGACCATTGGGCCTTGCTTACTGTCCTTATTTTCCTGACAAGATCAATTTAGTAGTTTAACCTGTTCGCCTCTTCCATAAATTTTGACAAATCTTTTATACTAATGGGCTTTAATTCTTCAGTAGATGTTGGTGAGAGAGAGGAGGGAAGAAGTTTTTTCTAAGTACTGGTGATTGGAAACCCTGAAGAATCAGCTGCTAGCTGGTGGCTGCTGGCTTTTTAACTTCTAGCTGATTCATTTGTTGTCAAAAGCAGTTTCCTGTCCGGTGGGGGAGGGAAATAAGGGGAATAGGAAGTGAAGTAGGGAAACCAGCTGTTTGTTAAATATTAGTAAATGACTGTTAACATTTGGGTGTGTTTTTTTTTAATTGGGTCAAACATTAACCTTTTTCTATAAACTTAATAGAACCTGATGGGTTGTTTTTTTGTTGTTGTTGTTTTCTTTTTTCAAAGACCTTATTACAAAAGAGTTTTCAAATTCTTAATATCATTCTTTACAATAATATGATCCTAGAAAATAGGCTTCAGATGAATTAAAGATGCAAACACATATGAACAAACACGGATTCATTTAAATTGATCAAGTACATTCTATTCTTGCAAAATACCCAAAGATTAAAAAATTTAAACCACCTATCAAGTCAGATGATTGATAACTTAGGGAATAATCAATTCTGCAATAATATTTAAAAATAGAAGTTAAAATAGTTAAATATATTCAAAAGGATTACAGGTTTTTTAGTAACCAAATTAGTTTTCCCAACCAGTGTTTTTGTGATTTAAAACTTAATGATATTTTAATTGAGCAGTTTTTCATACATTTTTGGCTCTAACTGAATAAGCTAAACTCAAACAGTAAAAGGGCCAAAATAAGATTTGGGGTTCCCTTCCCATAGGCAAG